AAACCCAGTAGGCACTCCAGTCAAGGTGTTGTGCATGAATGAATGCATCAGTTCTATCCCTACTTTCTAGGAATTTGAGAAGGCACCATATTGAGAAAGGAAGATGCCAGCACATGAATAGGTCATCTCCCATCTGGTGCCTTTCCCCCAGGGCTGAGAAGGCCTTGCTCATCGGAAAGGCACGTTGTTCCCACCATTCCAAAATAGCTTGTGTTTGTCATTAATTAAAGTTAAAGCAGTTGGAAGGAAACCATCCCGTTTGGTTTCCTAATGTGGCTAAAAGCCATAGTGGTTGATTTTTTGAGAGAAGCTCATGTGCTTCTGCCTGTCTGAATCTTCACTTTTCATATTATTCCAAAATTGAAATAAGAATGTTGGTATGGCAGGCGAAATAAATCTAACTCAAGACTCCTGCATTTCCACAAAGGAAGCAGCCTACTATTTCAATAATTCACTGCCCTGATAGAAGATTAACTTCTCCTGGTAGACAAGGCACAGTTGCTTGGGGAGGATAAACCTTTTTATCTGACCTTTATTGTGTTCTCTCAAGGTGGAGAACATAGCTAATATTTCTTCTTCCTCCTATTCTCCCCACAACCACTACCCTGCGAGCTGTATTGGGCTGAGAGAGAGTGACTGATCTAAAGTCACCCAGTCGGCTTTCATGCCTAAAGTGAGACAAGAACTCAAGAGTCTCCTGGTTTCTAAGCCAGCACCTTAACCACTGTACCAAACTGGGTATGCGATCATTGTGATTCCTTCCAACTCCATAATTTAATGATCCCTCATAAATCTTCAACAACTACAATTGGCTCAATCACACAATCCATCACATAAAACAGTGAAATTACTGGTTGCCCTAGTCTGGAAGAAAGTCTAGTTTTATTAATAACGGTATTAAACAGAGTAGTGTTTCTTTTTTGCACTTATGTTGGAGCGTTCCAAAAGTTTCTCAAACATTAAGCTTAGGGACATGCATGTAAAAACGTTACAGATGTGTATCTGCTCCACATTGCAAACAGACGTGAGGACTATAATAAGGAATCCTGAAGCCTGCTTCAAATTTAATACACAATCAGACAAACACTTTTGCAAGGGTAAAGAACTGGCTGTTGACCAGATCCTGCAACATTATAAGCAGAACACTTGACAAGCGGGAGAGAATGTCTAACCAACTTAAGTTTTGGGCTGGCGGCTACCAGTTTGTGCTTAGTTTTTATAATCTAGTTTTATAATTAAGAGGGGACCAGAATCGATTTCGCTGCAGTTTCATAATGGGGATTCTTGGCTCCTGACCACATTCTGGATTTTCTGCACACAGATGTACAGATAGTCCTCAAATTATGATCACAACTGAGCCCAAAATTTCTGTCGTTAAATGAGACATTTGTTAAGTGAGTTTTGCCCCATTTTATGGCCTTTCTTGCCATAGTTGTTAAATGAATCACTGCCATTGATAAGTAACCCAGTTGTTAAGTGAATCTGGCTTCCCCATTGGCTTAACTTGTCAGAAGGTCACAAAAGGTGATCAAACGGTCATAAATATGAACCTGTTGCCAAGCATCAAACGGTCATAAATATGAACCTGTTGCCAAGCATCTGAATTTTGATCACACGATCATGGGGATGCTGCAAAGGTCATAACTGTGAAAAACAGTCATAAGTCACATTTTTCAGACCCATTGTAACTTTGGTCACTAAATGAACTGTTGTTAAGTCGAGGACCGCCAGTATACGTGCACACATACATACACACATACTTAGCAGTAATTCCCCAAAACAAGGAGGCAAGAAAACTCAGGGTGATTGGGAAGTTAGGGCCAGCAATATAAAATTGAGCATGGTTCCATATCACAATTCAGATTGGAGACAAGACTGGAGTAGTTTCAGAGTAAATAAATCGACATATGAGGAAATATTGTTTATCCTGAGGCTTATCCTGTTCTTATGAAAGCAGAAAGTAGCCATTTAAATATCCCACAATGCTTCAATTAAACTAACTCCTCTGTCTTATAAGGGGAATCCAAGGCCTAGCCCTGCCTCTTGTGAGTCCTGATGGCATTTCTTTAAGAACCCCTCCTTATGATGACATCTTTCAAGTTCCCTTGATTTCCTGTTCCGCTTCCTCCTCTCAATTGGGTTAAGACAATCCAATTATTTACCTTCCTGTGGAGTAGCCTTTGTGCATGACAGTGATAAAGCTGTGTGGCATTGCGGAAATGGGGAACTACTAGGAAAAAAAATTAGTAACGTTTTTTTAATTTAACAGTGCCAGTAGGAGCTGAAGGAGGGATCAAAGAGAAGCCCATATGGCATATTGAGATTAAATGTGGACCAAAGCCAGATGCTGCTTTAACTGGGATGCAGAACATAAGGCAGGTGTTATGAGCTGCAGAGCAAACGCTTCCTTTCATCCATTCACTTGAATATTAGTGGAGAAAGGCAGATGAAGTTCAGAAGTTTAGCTACACATTCCTATTTAACTCTGCAGAAGTATCCTCTTTTTCCTGCCTTTCTTATATTGGTTTTTAAATAAGATATTTGCTACAGTTGCCTTGGGGCAGGGGTAGGCAACCTGGGCTCTTTTATGACTCGTGGACTTCAACTCCCAGAATTCCTGAGCCAGCATGGCTCAGCTTGGAAACCTCTCCCTTTCCCCTCAGCATGGCTGGCTCAGGAATTCTGGGAGTTGAAGTCCACGAGTCATAAAAGAGCCAAGGTTGCCTACCCCTGCCCTAGGGACACCACAATGATCAAAGCCTTAGCAGAACTTACTACTTCTTCTAATATATCTAGGGTGATGCCAGGCACAAGCAACCAGAACAGCTTTGAGAATGGGTCAGGTAGGTTTCTTTGCCTCTTCTAGCACTGATTACGTTGCCTAGTTTGGTAATAAAACATCCGCAAGAAAACAACCAAACTCAGAGGACCACTTAACCCCTACACTTCTGAATACCAGAGATGGGTGGAAACAGTGATAACCTTTTGCCTTTGTAAGGACCATCCAAAACGTGAGGTTAATTCATCCCCCAAGAACTGATGTGATGGAGACAAACTGCGTAACACAAGTGTATTTGTGTTAAATTTTATAAACAGGAACAGTTACAAAACAGTAACAAACATTTCATAGGAAACAATCACAATAACAAAAAGGTTTCCTGAACAGGATTTGAACCTATGCACACAGAGTGAATTTGAATTTTATTTTTTTTTTTTTAAAAAAAGCAGGATTTGAAAATCAGGTGAATTAGCTTACCCAGTTAAGAGTTCAAGGGTTAGGACTCTTGTTTTTTTGTTTTTTTTAATCCTTATGTACATGTTCTTAAAAGCACCATTGTCGAGTTAAATTCGGAATCATTCCAAAGCGCATATGGCTCTATACATGCTAGAAAAGGCACTCCAAATAATAATACCAGTTTTATTTGGCATTCATTCCTTTGGGGGTTACAAGGGTGGAGGAAGTGCAATCACTTTCTTACTACATCCCAGTTGATTTATATTCATCATCACCAACTTAGTAAAGGTGAACATCTTAAGAAGATAGCCTGTTCTGCAAATATAAGCCCCTCCTCCCATAAATTTCATAGCCCTGCTGGTCAGTCTTTACCACAACAGAGATTAGGATAACCTGTGGCTATCCAGATGATGGACTACAACATCCGTAAAGTTTTTCGATGCTTAGTTAGGTCAAAATCCAATATCTGAAGGACCACAGAAGATCATTCTCTCCCCAGACACGATCTAGCCATCCCTCTTTCATTCACTGAAGTAGATGTGATGGCACGATCACATCTGTGGAGGGAATATGGAAAGGCTGGGCTCATAAGAATGTTACTACTCTCCCTGTTGGCTAGACTTAGCAATCTTCAAGAGGTGATTTGTGCAATAATGAGAGTGACCAAATAGTTTCAATCACAACCTTAAGGTCAAATAGATTTCAGTGAAAAAGCTGACATCTTGTGAACACTTAATATATTTTTTTAAAAAATGCAGGATTACATTTTGAAATTGCTGGGGACCTTTTTAGAATATTCTGGGTCACCACAGGTGACCATAATTGTGGCAAGAGTGAATGTCCGATTATGGCTTCGAAGGGTCCAGTTTGGATCTTAGATTAAGGAGAGGATACGAGAGTAGTTTTCCCTTCTTGATACAAGCAACTTTAATTGCTCTAGAGCAGGGGTAGGCAACCTCAGCTCTTTTATGACTCGTGGACTTCAACTCCCAGAATTCCTGAGCCAGCATGGTCCCATGCTGGCTCAGGAATTCTGGGAGTTGAAGTCCACAAGTCATAAAAGAGCCAAGGTTGCCTACCCCTGCTCTAGAGAAAAGATAAACTAAATACGGTAAATCTCTCGTACGGCACACAAAAAATGGCAACATCTTGAAGGAGAAGCATCGCAAATCAGAACCTGTGTGCCATGCATTTCTATTGCAACATACCATCGTAGGCTACCATGTAGTTGTATTTTACCCCTGAGTTAAGTCTCTACAAAGGGCAGTTTATCGAGGCCAAAAAATGCTTGCTTCAGATTTGCTGCAAAGTAGAACGAACAGCCTTCTCAGTCAAGAGAAGGACACAACTATGGCTTAGTGTTGAGATAAGAGACAAAATCAGCTTCAAAGACAGCGACAGCCAACCTGGACATTTGCCAATTTATTCTGGCAAAATTTAGAGGTAGCTATCAAGACCTTCTAAAGAAAACTGGTGTCCTGCCTTCACTGATAAAACAGAAATACATTAATGTGTGTTCCTTAAATCCTTTTTCCTTTAAGTCACCCAGGGCCCTTCCCAAAGAGAGGAAAGGAGACAGACCCATCTAGTTTGAACCCTTGAAAATCAATCTTAAAAATATATAGTGGGCTACCCAAAGATGTTTGCAGACAGGAGAGAACATATTCAGAACCCCAGGCCGGCTTTGTGCTCTGACTCTGCTAAAAGCAGAAGGGGAAGAAGACAATGCAGCAACGTCACAAACACACACATACCCACACATCCTTCAGAGGCAACCTTGTGGCGTGGTGAGGGGCACGGTAGAGCCAGAGTCATAATCCAGGTCCACCGTGGTATGAGCGCTTGTGCTGAGGTTGCTCAAGGAGGTGCCAGTTCCCAAGTGCTGACGGTCCCGCAGGCTCTGGATGTAACTCTGTGGGAAGCAAGTGGAAAATGAGTCAGAGAGATTAGCTCAGGAAATGGGAATCATGCATTCTCTGGAATAAGCAGGGACCGGCTGGGACGTGGAAGTGTCACACTAGGAATTCGATCACGTTTTTTAAAGCAACTCACTCTGGCGACTTTTGATGTGAGGAAGGGCCTCCAAAGGCAGAACGATAGGATGGACAATGCGATGGCAGGTAGTCCTTGACTTACGACCACAATTGAGCCCAAACTTGCCGTTTGCCCCATTTTATGACCTTTCTTGTTGTAGTTGTTAATCACCGCAGTTGTTAAGTTAATAACATAGCGGTTAAGTGAGTTTGGCTACCCCTTTGACTTTCCTTGTCAGAAGGTCGCAAAAGGGGATCGATCATATGACTCCGGGACCACTGCAACCATCATAAATATGAACCAGTTGCCAAGCGTCCAAATGTTGATCATGTGACAACGGGGAAGCTGCAACAGTTGTGACTTTTTTCAGTGCTGCGAATGGTTGTAAGTCAAGGACCATCTTTATTTTATGTATTATTTATTAGGTTTTTATCCTGCCATTATTGATTTGTAAGTGTCCAAGGCAGCAAACATGTCGTACATAATACTCCTTCCTCCTCCTATTTTCCCCACAGCAACAGCCCTGTGAGGGAGGTTGAGCTGAGAAAGAGGGACTGGCCCAAGTTCATTCCAGCCAGCTTTTCATTCTTATAACGCTGTACATTAATTGTCTGTTTATTAAATTTATACTGTTGAAACAGGAGCCAGTTTGGTATAGTTCAGGGGTAGTCAACCTTGGCTCTTTTATGACTCGTGGACTTCAACTCCCAGAATTCCTGAGCCAGCCATGCTGAGGGGAAAGGGAGAGGTTTCCAAGCTGAGCCATGCTGGCTCAGGAATTCTGGGAGTTGAAGTCCATGAGTCATAAAAGAGCCAAGGTTGCCTATCCCTGGTGTAGTCTAAAGTGCTGGACTTCCAGGAGCCTCCAAGTTCTAGTCCTGCATGAAAAATCAGTTGGATGACTTAGGGACAGTCCGTCAGCCCAACTCACCTCACAGGGTTGTTGTGGAGGGGAAAATAGGAGGAGGAAGGAGTATTGTGTGAAATAAATGAAATAAATAGAATAGCACCATCTATGTTCCTGCATCTTCAGCAAGGCTCCTCTTTCCCACAAACTTCACATATAGAACCAAGCTACAAAAACATCTGTATCACAGGTCAAATCTTTTAGAAAAGAATCATACTGAAGTGTGAAGAGAATCTCCCTCGCCTCCAACTATCAGTGATTCTGAATTTCCTCTGCTGTGAAGATGGCTTCCCATCATGGTAACTTCCCCAATTGTATTGTACTTCTATTATAGGTAGTCCTTGACTTACGACAGTTCCTTTAGTGACCATTCAGAGTTACAACGGCACTGTAAAAAATGACTTGTGACCATTTTTCACAGTTACAGCCTTTGTAGCATTCCCATGGTCACACGGTCATAATACAGACACTTGGCAACTGGCTCATCTTTATGGCAGTCACAGTGTCCCGGGGTCACGTGATCCCCTTTTGAGACCTTCTGACAAGGAAAGTTAATGGGGAAGCCAGATTCACTTCACAACTACGTGACTAGCTTCAGTGATTCACTTAACAACTGTGGCAAGAAAGGTAGTAAAATGTGACAAAATTCGTTTAACAACTGTCTTGCTTAGCAAGAGAAAATTTGGGCTCCATCGTGGTCGTAAGTTGAGGACTACCTGTACGATCCTCCCCAAAACCATAATTCACCTGGAGAAACCCAGATTAGGGAACATTGCCCTAAGGTTTTAAGATTGATTTCTTTGTGTCAGATTACAGGATCTGTCCCAATGTTCAGTGTTCAATACATACTGAAATGCTAAGTGAAACAGGGAGGTGTAATACCTCCCGAGTACAAAATATAAAAGTCAGAATTTGTTCTTGAAAAGTATTGCCCTATGTGGCAGTCACCCATCAGTCTCAGACAGATGTAAACTGAGATTAGACTCTGAGTGGCAGAACTGCTTCTAATATGACTGTATCACAACCGATTATCTGTTTATTTATTTCAAAGTTTGGTATGCTGGTTGCTCATTAGTCTAGGTGGCTCACACCTCCCAAAACGCATGAATGAAAGAAAACAATTTTGCAGTTTTAAACAGACAAAGCCTTTTTTGCTCTTCTAAATCTTAAGGTTCCATTGTGAATCAAAATATTACTATATTCCATTGGTGATATATTTTCAATCAAGAAAGGAAAGAATTTAATCAATCTATTTAGAAAGTCCTCTCGGCATAACCAGGAACTCTTTGCTGCTCTTGGATGGCAATTTTCTCAGAATGAAGAGAGCAGAGACCCTACCATCCATAGGCCCCTGGGTCATGGAAGGAAAGAAGAAGGAGGTTTTCTCTTATGATCCTCTTGATGGTAAATAGTTATCTTGCATATTAGCCCTCTCGATTGACAAGTTATTTAAGAACTGATCTGCTGCTCTTCAAACCAAGATATATTTCCCAAAGGCCTTATACAATGTTTGAAAAACAGCATCCATATTTTATTACAGCAGCATAAAATGAATGAAAATATGGAATAATTTTGATACATTTTATGCTGCTATAATAAAACACGGATGCAAGACAATTATCAATTAAATCAGCTGCTACATAAAGCTAAGATGTGTGTGTATGCATGCAAGCATGTATAGGTATATGTATGTGTGTGTGTGTGTGTGTACCATGTTTTCCTGAAAATAAGACGGGATCTTATATTAATTTTTGCCCCAAAAGACACATTAGGGCTTATTTTCCGGTAAGGGCTTATATTTGGGGAAATACAGTACTAAATGCGTCCGTCTGGCTGACAATCTTAATTGGGGCTTATTTTGGGGGTGGGGCTTATATTACGAGCGTCCTGACAAATGTGCTAGGGCTTATTTTCCAGTTGGGTCTTACTTTCCGGGAAACACGGTATGTATATGTATATGTATATGTATATGTATATGTATATGTATATGTATATGTATATGTATATGTATATGTATGTGTATGTGTATGTGTATGTGTATGTGTATGTGCAGGTGCAGATGCAGATGATGTAGATGTAAGGCTCATTGGAGCACAAATAAAAAAATAAAATAAAAATCTAGGTAAGAAAGTAGATCATCTGGAACTGCAAAGGCAATGAAGACAAGCAAGTCTTCGTAGGAAAGAGATTCCCAAACAGGCACAAAAGTTGATCACCGTTATTATTTTTGGCACCCCAAAGCCATTCTGGACAAAGTTTGGGAGGTCCCATTGGCTGAGAGGGTGGGATCGGCTTTCTAGAAGCTCAGGGATGAAGGGGCTAAGCAGCCATTGGCCGCAGCCACTCACTGGTGCGAGGACATCTCCGGTGCAGCGTTTGATGGCACCAGCCTTGTGCCGGTAGGAGCCTTCTTGTGGAACTTGGCACTGCCTCTTTTTGGCTTCCCGCTGTCGAATCCGTAAGAGTTGTAATTGCTTCTGGCGCCGATTCAGGACCACTAGGCCACAGAAAAGAGACATGAGATTGGATGATAAAGACTTAGCTTAAAATCCCGCATAGAACCTGCCTAGCCCAGCCCCATTCTGGGAGAAAATGATAGCTTGAAAGGGAAGCTTTGATTCAGACTATAGCCTCTCACTTGTACATGTAGTCCTCGACTTATGACCACAATTGAGCCAAAAAATTCTGCTGTTAAGTAAGACATTTATTAAAGGAGCTTTGCCCCATTTTATGAGTTTTCATGCCTCAGCTGTTAAGGGAATCTCTACGGTTGATAAAGTTAGTAACCCAGTTGTTAAGTGAATTCGGCTTCCCCATTGACTTTGCTTGTCAGAAGGTCGCAAAAGGAGATCACATGACCTTGGGACACAGCAACGGTCGTAAAATATGAACCAGTTGCCAAGCATCTGAATTTTGATCACAGGATCATGGGGATGCTGCAAAGGTTGTAACTGTGAAAAATGGTCATAAGTCACATTTTTCAGAGCCATTGTAACTTTGAACAGTCACTAAACAAACTGTTGTAAATTGAGGGCTACCTGTATGTTCTTGAGAGGGGCAAAGGAAAGATGTGATACTGAGAGTTTGTCTTGTCTCCTACTCCTTCCTTCCTCCATCTCCTTCAAGAGCAGAAAGGCTAAAGAAATCTGTCCTGTAAATCTCAGCTTCCTTATAGATCAAGAGAAAAGGCAGAAGGAATTTCTTCACATCCCCCCTCAATTAGCTACATATTAATTTCACCTTTCTCTCCCCCCCCCCGATACCACAATATTAACCTCAAAATCTTTACACAATCTTCCTTTATGCCTACATTTACAGGCAGTCCTCAATTCGCAACCACAATTGAGCTCAAAGTTTCCATAGCTAAGCAAGACAGTTGTTAAGTGAGTTTTGTCCCATTTTACAACTTTTCTTGCCACAGTTAAGTGAACCATTGCAATGGTTAAGTGAAATATGCGGTCATTAAGTGACTCTGGCTTGTCCCATTGACTTTGCTTGTTGGAAGCCGGCTGAGAGGGTTACAAATGGTGATCACACGACCCTTGGAATACTGCAACAGTCATCAGTGCATGCCAGTTGCCAAGCGTCTGAATTTTGATCACGTGACCATGGGGACGCTGCAACAGCTGTAAGTGTGAAAAATGGTCGTAAGTCACTTTTTTCAATGCCATTGTAGCTTTGAACGGTCACTAAATAAATGGCTGTAAATCTAGGACAGGGGTAGGCAACCTTGGCTCTTTTATGACTCGTGGACTTCAACTCCCAGAATTCCTGAGCCAGCATGGCTCAGCTTGGAAACTTTTTCCTTTCCCCTCAGCATGGCTGCCTCAGGAATTATGGGAATTGAAGTCCACGAGTCATAAAAGAGTCAAGGTTGCCTACCCCTAATCTAGGACTACTTGTACTAATTTCACTTTTCTTACACCATGGGCAAGGGGCAGGTATTTAACTAAGTATGCATTATAGCACATCATATTTGCATGGTGTGATCAAAGAACTACATGCACTGTAGGTATGTGTGACAAGTCATAAATGCATGTATACATAAAATATAAAAATATACACATAAAAATATATTCATATATGTGCATGTATGTGCAGAGGGATATATTCAGTGGGGAGAGAGGGAAAGAAAAATGGCAAGAAAAAAAAATGAGACGCTCTGTTACTTCCTAAGAGCTCCATATCCAACTAGGCCTACTCTTTCAGTCAGATCCAAGATTTTCACTCACCGTCTGTGTGCGAGAAACCTTCAGCAGTCACTTTCCACTGCAGCAGGATGCCCATCAAGGCAAGGGCAGGCCAGGTAGCCAGCACTGCCCAGCCACACCAGCAGAGCAGGGAGGAAGGGGCCAGACGGAGGCGGTCATAGACATGGTGGCCCAAAGCCAGGTTCTCCACCGTGTAGTCCAAGCAGAGAGTCAGAACAGCAGCCCCAAACACCGCTGTGGAGATCACCGTGAGGACCTTCTGCCAGCGCAGTGCCAAGACAGCACCTAAGAGGGACAAGCCCAGCAGGGACCCAGCAGGGATCCACCCGTTGGGCAGCTTGTAGAAAGGCTCGGTGGCTACCAGCCCAGCTGTGGCCACCAGCAAGCCAAGCAGAAGCCCTGTCAGAAACAACCCCACAGAGTGCACCAGCATAGTAACCAAGCCACACAAGACTCCGATGCCCAGGGCAATGCCGGCGCTGACCTCCAAGCTGAGCTGGGTGTCCAAGATACGCTCCTTATAGCAAAGCAGAAAGATCACAGCGGAGCCAAAGAGGAGACCGGAGAGGAACATGATGGCCTTGAAACACCGATAGCCTATTGACAGGAGAGAATGAAATAAGACTACCAAGGCAAGTGAACACAGGCAAATCGTTTACAAAAAGGAGGATAGATTAAGAGGGCAATTGCAGAAACATTACATCCAAATACTCGTGATGGTTCAGCTAATCCTCAATAGTAAGAAAAATGCCCAGACAAATCAGCTGGGGTTTTTTTTTAAAAATTGCCCTTTTGTCATAATTATTTAGAACAAAGGATTCATGCAATTTGCAATGTGGACTTGCTGCTATCATTATTACTACAAAATAATTTTTGGTACTTGATGTTATTTGAAAGACATGAAGGACACTGTGCTCACCGGAGCTTGGTTATTTAGCTCGATGGAAGCATGTGTTGAAAAGGGGGGAATGTAATTGATGACTTCAAAACAACAGCCTCTTTTAGTGATTCTTTTCTGGGTTATAGGTCAAGAGAATAAGAACAAAAGATCATCTTTTACTCTCACTATTCACTCCAAATGAAGTAGCAAACAGAATGGATACTTTTAAAAAGATGGTTTTGTTTTTCTTCAAGATGAGAATCATCTCCAATTCTCACAGTGGAAGAATGGATGGAAAAACTGATGGAGCTTGCAGAGGTAGTCAAATTTATTGCTTTAATGAAAGAAAACATCTAGTTTTGTCTCTACGGTACTTAAACCCCTTTACAGTTTGGTGCTTGAGACAGAAAAAAAAAATGATTTTGGGGATTTGCTGATTAGGTAAGTCTGTTGTTATAGAAGTGGCTAGTAAACTTAAGTATGTAAAAGTAAAACGTTGAAGCTGAACCCTATTATTTTTATTCTATTGCAGTGCAAAAAGTTGGACGTTAACACTTTTTTCTTCTTTTTCCCCTACCCCACACTTTTCTTTTCCTCTTTTTCCCTTCTCCGTTTCCCTACTACTTTATTTTCATTTCTATTTATAATATAAATTTTAATTAAAAACTGAAGAAAAAAACCAAAGGAAGACTACCTCTTCTATCCCACTCCATTCTGTGTCTTTCTTGCTTCACTTCGGTTTGCTATATTAACTAATCTGCACCCATTCCCATGTACTTGTACCTAGCTGCAACTTTCTGAGAGGTAACGAATTAGTGTTCCCACTCTTCTTCTGATTTCTTTCAAGATGGCTATGAGGCACACTGAAAAGCAACACAGCAGGTCTTCCACTCCAACAGAAGAGAATATTTATAGCTCAGGGTTGAACTGTGGGGTCCTTGGTACTCTCAGAGCTTGATTTTTTTTCTTGCAAATGTTTCATGACCCAACTAGGTAACATCATCAGTGCTAGAAGGAAATGGGGTTTATTCTAGTACTGATGGTGTTACTTCGTTGGGTTATAAAAACACAGCAAGAAAGCAACCAAGCTCAGAGAGCACAAGGACCCCACAGTGTTACTATCAAAACTTTTCAGAAACTGCAAGACGGTCTCCATTTCGCTAAATTTTGGGCATACAGCCTAAAGACATGCCGTAAAGTTTCCTTTCCTTATGAGAGCAAGGCATGAAATCATGGAGAAAGCACAACCTTAGATCCCTTCCCTAGCTGTTAGTGATGCTTGCTGGGAATTCTGGGAGTTGTTGTCCTAATAGGTATGGAAATCAGGCAGCATCTCTGCTAACATAGACTCACAGGTTCACTGGCAGGGCAGGTAACAATAAGTTCAGTGACTGGAAAGATAATACATGACCACTGGAAACAAAAGCTTTGCTTTATCATCTTCCAAGCTGTGGCATATTTGATGCCCAACCCAGGAAGATCTATCTGATAAGCTAGATAAAATATTTTGCCTATTACTTGTAAATAACGTGTGCATCTCAAGAATATGCAAATGCTCTAGAAACAGTAATTCTGAAACTGTTTTGGGCCTGGAGCTGCCAAGCATTACATCCAGCTGGAGCTTCTATGTATAAAATAAAAGTTTCAGTCAACAGGGAAATGTACACCTTGCCTTTCGATGGCAAAGGTGTTTTCCAGGTGCTCCAGAAGCGCCATTCAAACCTTCTGCCTTCCTGCTCTATAGAAAGATATTTGTTCAAATCAAAACAATCCTTATTACCCAGAGGGGGGGCTGTTAAGAAAAGAGGAGCTGGGGATCACTTAAGAAGCAGGTGGCAAAACTTGAAAGGAGCTTGCAACAAAAAAGTCCCTTTCCCCTCTACTCACCAAAACAGCAGTAAGCCACTCCAAAAATGCAGCAGAGAGCACAAACCACGCAGGGCACCACTTCATAGTGCCTTTCTGAAAGGAGACTGCAAGGGTCCAAGGCTGGCTCCGTGGGCTCGGCTGCCCCTTGATTAAAACCCCGGGGATCAAAAGTAACAGCAACCGGTAGCGGCAAGGTCAGATCCATGCTTACGAGCCAGGAAACAGCTCAGCTTGCCAGAGCCATCCAAATGGGAAAAGCAGCCTAGAGAAGAGAATTCTGTTAGGGCGTGAAGAGAATCCTAGAAGGGTCAAGCCCACCCAAACTCCTCATCCCAAAGTTGCACAATTAGAACCAAGACCAGGCTGACATATTATGTTATATAGCCCATTGTAAATTTGTTTTGTAATGTAGTCCTCGGCTTACAAGCATCTAGAGAGACCGTTCAAATTTACAATGGCAGTGGGGGAAAAAGTGATTTATGACCATTTTTCACACTTATGACCATTGCAGCACAGGATCAAAATTTGGGCCCTTGGCAAGTGGCTCATATTTATGACGGTTGCAGTGTCCCAGGGTCATGTGATCACCTTTTGCAACCTTCTGACAAGCAAAGTCAATGAGGGAAGCCAGATTCACTTAACAGACGGGCTACTAATTTAACAATTACAGTGATTCACTTAACTGTGGCAAGAAAGGTTGTAAAATGGATCAAAAACTCACTTAACAGTTGTCTTGCTTAGCAACATAAATTTGGGGCTTAATTGGATTCGTAAATCAAGGACTACCTGTATTAACTTAGCGTGGTGTGTGAACCCAGCCCCAAACCTTCTTCAGATTGGCCAGGTTAAGACTTTTAAGAAAACCTGAATATGGTTTGAGGCTTATCTTCAAAGTTGCCCCTAAATCCTATCCTGCCCGCCTCATCATTGTCTCCCTTTCTCCTATGGCAGTGATGGCGAACCTTTTAGAGACCGAGTGCCCAAACTGCAACCCCAAACCCACTTATGCATCGTTGGGTGCCGGGTGGGTGTGGCCCATTGGGTGGGTGTGGCTGCGGTGGTAACAGCAGACTGGGTGGGACTAAAAAGTTCAATCAATCAATTCCAACTTTGCAAGATCTTTTTTTTTCCCACGAGAAGTTGAAATTGACTGATTGATTGAACCTTTTTTTTTGTGTACACAGCGGCGGAGGCCTAAAGCGAAAAGGTTTTATAAAACCCAGCTGAAGGCCTAGGTCTGGGGCGATGGCGTGCATGCTCACAGAGAGGGCTCCGAGTGCCGCCTCTGGCACCCATGCCATAGGTTCGCCACCACTGTCCTATGGTGTCCCACAACCCTGACCCTGAAGATAGGCGGTTCTTTCACCCCACTTGTCATTTGACAGGCAATCACAGGAAGTGGAGCCTTTTTCTGAATTTTGGTGAGGTCCTGGCTCCGGGAGGTGTTTCCTGCTATGTCCATCATTTTTTCTGCCCAGTGTCTCTGACAGGTCTAGAAGTACTCAGGGAAAGCAAAGATGCTGGGTGCACCTGGAATCTCCACTGTAGCGATTTTGTTATGAACGGCATTTATCTGACAAAATGTCAAAAAGGTAAAATGGATATAATGAAGCCACAAGCAATTGCCTTGGAATTAGGCACTTGATATTATTCATGATGCTGGTTCTTCCCATCCCTGACATTACCCCCAATGCAGCTGCATGTCATGTTTCTTTGCCACTAGAACTAAAGAGAAACTTCCTGACAGTTAGAACAATTAACCAGTGGAACAACCTGCCTCCAGAAGCAGTGAATGCTCCAACATTGGAAGTTTTTAAGAAGAGACTGGACAGCCATTTGTCCAAAATGGTATAGGGTTTCCTGCCTGAGCAGGGGGTTGAAGAGGACCTCCAAGGTCCCTTCCAACTTTTTATTTTTACTATTACTATTACTATTACTACTACTACTACTACTACTACTACTATTGTTGTTGTTGTTGTTATTATATTATTATTATTATTATTATTATTATTATTATTATTATTATTATTATTATTATTATTATTATTATTATTATTATTATTATTATTATTTTCTTCTCCCTCTCCCCAGTCAGGGTATTGAACAACAGCCCTACAAGTGAGGGAGATCTGGGGCAGAGAGAGATAAGAGTATGGCTTTACATCCCTAATACAGTTCCGCTTGGGATTGGTAGCTGGTTAAAAGAAAGGAAAAGGAGAGGATAACACTGAAGAACAGAGGAAACACAGAAATATCAAAATGTCCAGAGCTGGGAGCTGTCTGGAGTTGGTTGGAAAACAGTTATATAAATATTTTAAACAAACAAACAAAATGACATGAAAACTTTTATGGAAGAGGTTTGGTTAAAATGTCAATTCTCCAGCAAACATTGATGACAAATTATCTAGCTTTCTACGGATTGTTTCCCAAATGCTGCAGTCCTTCATGCTTGCACTCCTGGAATTCCCAAGCACTGCAGCTAATACAGCTAGTCCTCGATTCACAACAGGTCGTTTTGTGACTGTTCGAAGTTACAACAACGATTAAAAAAAAGTGACTTGTGACCGTTTTTCACACTTATTTCACCACAGTATCCCTGTGGTCACATGATCAAAATTCAGATGCTTGGTGTATGAATATAACATATGAATATAAATATGACTGACTCATATTTATGCTGTGTCCTAGGGCCATGTGATCCCCTTTTGTGACTTTCTGACAAGCAAAGTCAATGGGGAAGCCAGATTCACTTAACCAGGTTACTAGCTTAACCACTGCAATGGTTCACTTAACAACTATGGCAAGAAAAGGTGTAAAGTGGGGCAAAACTCACTTAACTGTCTCGCTTAGCAAAGGGCTCAGTTGTGATCTTAAGTTGAGGACTACCTGCATGAAAAGTGGCTGGGAATCCAGGACCCTATGTCCTAAGACAGGGGTAGGCAACCTTGGCTCTTTTATGACTCGTGGACTTCAACTCCCAGAATTCCTTAACCAGCATGGCTCAGCTTGGAAACCTCTCCCTTTCTCCTCAGCATGGCTGGCTCAGGAATTCTGGGAGTTGAAGACCACGAGTCATAAAAGAGCCAAGGTTGCCTACCCCTGTCCTAAGACATGAAAGATGCAAGTTGGGAGCTGGTCCTGGTCACCAAAAAAAAAGGCCTGGGCTAGATGGGTCATTTTGGTTTACTAGTCCAGTGTAGCACCTCTTAGGTTCACATGGGCCCAACCACCTTATTTCTTCACCCCAAATTCCTAAATCCTTCCTTTCTTTACTCTTATCACTCAAGAGTTAAACGGTCCCCCATGATACAAGTGTGAGTAATCTCCCCACCCCAGTTAGTATTGACAAAACGCCTCACTCCTCGGCCCTCTAACCAAATCTGGCAGCGATCATCGCTGCAAATCCGAGCCAACGTTTATGCATTCAAACTGGAATCTCTCCTCTCATCCCCGTGAAAGTTTATTGGGACATTTAAATTCAACGGCTATTGAAATCTGGTCCTCCGCCAGGAGTTCAGAGTCTTATTCCCAGCTCTGTTGGGAAAAGGGGAAGCCTTGTTAATTGGAGCAGAAGGTAAAAGTGGGAGCCAGAACTTCTGGGCTCCCTTCCCAGCTTCAGGGGGGATGGTATCCATCATTGTTCAGATGGGTCTTATTTCAAGAGGGGAGCAAGGCAAGGAAATGTAGGCAATTTAAGATACCCAGTAATTAAGATGTTCGTAATCCAGCGTACTACAGCCCCACGGGCTTATAATACATTCCCTTATTTCCCTGCAGGATCATCTCCACTTCTACTCAACTTTTTCAGCTGACAACTTCACTTTTACTTAACTATTTACTTTCCATTTTCAGCATTTCTGACACTGCTCAAACAATCAGTGCAGACAAACATCGGTCTTCAGGGGTTCAGGAAACCCCTACTTCGGGGGTATAATCCTACTTCAGTTGCACTTTGGCAAATAAAAATACTCTGTAAATACGGCATCAGACTTTTTTGGGGGAAGGGCAATGAGGGGAAAGCAAAAAAAGATTTATTTTACTTATTTTTTTGCATTTTTAAAACAACCCTCTCCCTCAGAAATGCATTCGCAAGGAGGCTTTCTCATCTCCTGTGCAAGATAATCAAATAGCCAAGTTTAGTTCTGAAGTTTTAGGGTTATATATTTCATATATAGCCACAGGTTATTCCTGTTTTTAAATTACTTTTTCTCCACAAATATCTATCCATAATTATGCAAAGAAAAAATTTCTAAAATCTACTAGGTCACCCCAAGCCTGACAAGGTAGCATAAAATAAGTATTAAGCGGTTGGCCCCACAAATCACACATATTTCCTTCCAGGGAAGCCCCTCAAAAATCCATGTATAGATAGCAAAACATTAACGTTCACTGAATGAGGGAGAAGACAGTATAAAAGCATTTATTGGAATTAAGCTGTCATGCTTATCTACTAGGAGCCTCAGTTAACTAAGTCAGTGCTTAAACTTCTCAAAGAGACTACCGTATGAGCTGGAAGGCAGCATCTCACACCCTAGAGATACATCCTCCTTTTGGGGAACTTTCTGGAGGAGGCCCGGGAAACACACGGGAAACACACATGTGCCACGTTTCGACCTGCAGCTAAACCAAATGGGTCATCCTGTTTTGGCTGTGGCTTCATGCGCTTGTAAACAAAAACATCTGCAGAAATCTCCTTTTCTCCAACAGTGACTCCTATCCCAGCTAGGAATATGGTGCTGAGTTTTAATGACATCGCCCTTCTGGAATCAGAGTCCAGCATCCCTTTAAAATGCCACTCGGCTCCCTTAATGCGCAGACAGGGAGGAAAAGAAACAGCTGGGAGGCTGGGAAGGGATGGATTAGTAAGCAATTCTCAAACTGTTAGGGTGTGCAGCGAAGTTCTGTTAAATAAGACACGGAGGCTTTTGCAAAGCAGCCGTTACTGTAGCAAGGTTACAAGCAGCATTATTTATTAAGCGAAGGTTTCTTACGGTTAGTTTAAAAACACGCCTTGAGTTCCTTTAAAAGTTTAAACCGAAGAATGCTTTTACCGCGGAGTCCGAGAGAAGCTCCTTCCACCACTGGCAGGCTCAAGATCTGATCCCTCCACCTCTTTGAAAGACCACCCCTCTTTCCTCCAGTCACGTGTCCAAGTCCAACTTGGCAAAAGACCCCCCCCCCCGAGGATGATGCAAAAAAAAAAAA